GCCAGCGCACACTGACGGCTCATATCCAGCTTTTTGTATACCAGTACCCCCAAGTCCTTGTCAGGGCTGCTCTCTATCCACTCTCCACCCAGCCTGTACTTGTGCTTGGTGGCAAATATGTTTGCACATGTGCATACAATCTTCCTTTAAATGTAGGCTTCTGATACTATCCATGAGGAGATGTAGATACAGTGTTTGTCAATTGTTTTTGTGGACAGCCCATAACAATTAAATCTTGTGTACATCTACAGTGTGATTAATCAAGGTGAAACAAAACTACAGAATCTCCAAATTTGTGTTTAAAAAATCTTGATAATAGAACTATTTTCTAAGTCTTTTTCCTTTGAAAATACAAACCAGTAGTTTGAAGAAAAACATCAGTGTTGTCACATTTAGAATTGTCTAAAACATATTCACAACAAAAATACTGTAGAACTAAGGTTTCTAAAGTAGAGTAGCTTGCAAAAAAACCCCTACACCCTAGAAACTTTAAATTACATATGCATGTATGTGCACACACACTCTAAATGGAATAGTAAGAATTCTTCAAGCCTGTGGTACCTGTGACTGATCTTCAAGGCCAAGTTATGTGATGCTAGCTTGCAGGTCGTGAATATGCAACATTATGGTTGCTATTTCTTTGCTGTGCTTCTCTATGTAGGAAATTATTTCTATCTCCCATTATGTCCCCATGTCCTGAGGTAGATTGCAGTAAGATTGTGGTACTTGTGGAGAGTCATCCGTAGGGATTTCTAATCCCACCCCATGCCTGGAGGCGATTTTGTTACATCATGGCAGTTAGAGACGGTTAAATCTCTTCCCAAATACTCTCTGAAATGTGTTTTTCCTGTACCTTCTGGCCTCTGGGGTCTTTCTGGTGTGTTGAGATGATAAAGATATGACTTTCTAGTTCCAGGGTTAGCTTGGCTGATGCTAGTCTAGGGATTTGAGGGGTGGGCTTCGCTACACATATTTAGGGACGGTAGTGACAGACCCATAATCTTCACTCTGAGTGGCTGTCCCGGAGATGGCTGTATGCAGAATATTTTAGAACTTGTATCTTTTCATCAGATGCAAAAGTCCCTCACATCCTACAAGATCTGTGAGGACCTCTTGGCATTTGCAGAAGGATTCTTTTTACTGTGTGATCCGTTGCACACCAGTCTTCTCAGGTGGCTGCTGGTATGAAGTGCAGTAGTAAGCTCTTGAATAAGCTTTTGATAGCAAACAATGGATTCCAGTACTGTTTGGGTGTTTGCTGTTCTGTAGAAGTGACTGATAAGGTGTGTACAAAACGCAGCGTCCTATGATACATATATCTGCCAGTATACAAGGTGTATAGAGAAAGGCAGAAGCTCTGTTTACTGTTAAATCATACAGGATACCCTCTGAAAAACAGAGCAGCCTCATAATTTTAGCAGTTTTCACCTTTGGATCCAGAAGAGACTGTTAAGGCGTGCAAGAACAAAAATTATTTGTTCGTCCACTTCATATGCTGTAATTAAAGATGATAATGCTCTGCTATGATACGAGAATACATGGTGATTGCTTATCAAATCCTGACTGCTGTTCACTCAAACAGACGTTCTCTACTTAGAACTAGAAGATAAAATGTAAGTGTAGGCATCTCCTGAATAAGACTAGAATAGATTTGTTAGATGCTTGGGGTTGTTTTTGTTATTACTTCAACACTAAGATGCTTAACTCACTCAAACAGCTTGGGATTGTGAAAAAATCGTTCTGCTGAAGAACCACATGAATCAAAAATTGCAGTTCTTATAGTTCAGAATTTTGTATTCCTACTACTGTAATAAGGCATAAAATCCTAAAAGAAGAATGCATTCTGAAAATCTAGGTATGGCTGCTATTTCTTTTTTTTTAGAGCGCAATTTGAGCTTTTGATGAGGTAGGTAGATTTAGTTAAAAATGAGGTTTGAAAAGGTGAAGGGGGAGGAGAGTAAGTGGAGCAGAACTTTTTCTGCTGGTAATGTTGTAGGCCTGAGAAATTTGTGCTATAATTTTTGTTATCTATTGCTATGGTGCAAATCTGTTAAGTGAATCACACTTACTTCCACTTTCCTGAGTTCATTTTTTGCATCCTAGAGTTACATACTGGTAGTCCTCTGTCATGTATTTTTGCAGAAGATATGCTAAATGCCATGTGCGAATTGTTAATTGGACTTGTTGATTTTTGTATAATATTGCATGTTGATCTGATATTTTGAGATAAATTTCATGATAGTTCATCTGTGTTATGATAGTTGGAGCTGGAAGAATGCATGGAAAAATTAAGGGAAGAACAAAGAGCCAGAGTAAAGGCTGAGGAACGGATAATGGAGGTAATGATACTTAACTGTTAATCATCTTTACTTTTGAAGGATGCACCAATCAAGCTATCCACTTGCTTATTTAGGAGTAATTATTGATGACATCTAGTGTGGTAGCTTCCAGAGTTTCAGTTCAAAGTTAGATGGATCATTTACTAGCCTAAGGACAATGATGAAATCTGGATTTGGTAATGTGTGTTTATTCTCCTGATGCTATTCCAGAGCCTTGAACTCTGGGTCAAGCTACTCTTTCAATGTGTTTCATTCATTTGGTGTATTACTTATGAGCTGGAGCATCGTGGTGTTTGTTTTTCTTGAGAAAGTGATTAAATCTGTTTGCAATTTGCAGCAGATGGATAGTTCTTTGAGGTCTCCCACCTACTCTATCATGACTTCTACTGAAAAGCTGTTTGCTGCAAATGTTGTTTAATTTGGCTTATTCTGTCCCTTTGATTTGTAAATTTTGTTCTGCAGGCAGTAAAAATGTTGGATGGCTTTCCGCTTAGCATGTTGGCCATAGCCATCAGTTGTCGCAAAGCATGGTTTCGCATTATGACAGAAGGGAGGTAACAACTTGTGACAGTTAAATTGCAAGCTCTATGTCCCTCTGTCCACTGTTGCTGACCTAAAAAGATCCTTTTGCATCAATAAGCAGATTTTTTTTTTTTTGGAGTAGTGTTGAGTGTAGGATAGTGTAAATGAATGAATGTGGTTCTCAGATGTGATCTGGAGTGCAATGAAAGTGGTGGTACCCTTTGAAACTTGAGCAACAAGTGGTGCCCCACAGTACAGGGAGCAGGTGTCGACAGAGGACTTTGCACTCTACAAGGTTTATCGTAGCGTTCTGGTGTGGCCATCCCCATCCTCCTGTAACGTGAAGTGCACCAGTGGGCTCTGCTTGGCTGTCTGTTGTTTGAGTACTTAAATGCTTTTTAGGCAAAATACCAACTGCAACCAATCTTTCTCTGTCATGCTGTCCTGCTTGGACCTAGCACCCTGTTTTAGGAGAAGTCTTAGTAAGAAGCAGTAATCTCAAAAATTGTTCGTTTTGATGCTAGTTTAACTGCTACAGTGCACTATGCAGTTCTGTAATTTTTTGTCCTTTTCTCACAGAAGATGAAAGAAGGAAAGCCCGTGGTATGAGCGATTGCGTACCTGTAATCTTAAATAAGTCCTGAGTTAATGTTTCCCTCAAACACAAAACCCTCTATATTTGAAAGTTGGATGGTAACTCTAAGTTTGTCATTGGTTTGATTAATGTTCAGTGTGAAGAAAAATTGGATCTTAAACTTTCAGTTTTGGGATGCACAGTGCAGGTGATAGAATAGTATGCATTCCCTCTGACACAGAGGGGCGAATACAAGGAGAGCATTTGCCTTCATTAAGGACTTTATTAATATAAAATAAATTGTTTGGTGTTATTGTGTCATATAATGCAAAATAACGTCATCTGAAAGCTAATTTTTTTTGCTTGCACTTGCTCTGCAACGTTCTGTGCGTACCGAAGACAGCGCTGAGCCAGCAGTTTTGTGTGCCTGCAGCAACTTCACTGTGGTAGCACAGAATTGCAGCTGCGGATAAACAAACCTGAACAGAGCTCCAGTGTAACAGTACCCTGAATATTTCTGGTACAGGAAGCTCTCTATCAGTTATGTCAGTTACTTTGTCAGTTGGGCTCTCTTCCTGATAAGCTTGCAAAGGTGGTGTTGGATTTTTTTTTTTTTTTTAACTGACAAAACCAGAAATTCTTTTTTTCTTTCTTTCCTTATAGCTGGAAATCGAAATTGCAAGATTGAGGAATGTAAATATCTCCCTATCTGAGGCTCTTCACGCACAGTCAGTAACCAACATGATTTTGGAAGATGAAGGTGTTCTAGGCAGCATTGAGAACTCTTTCCAAAAGTTTCATGCTTTTTTAGACCTCCTTAAAGATGCTGGGTAGGTTGTCACTTTATTTAAATCTTACTGCTTCTGCTGAGGTGTCTTTCCGAAACTATCCTCCCAATGAAGTATGCAGCCTTCTCGCCCCAGGTATCTAGGACTGGACTCGCAGAGAGCAAAGGGTGAAAAATTAACTGCATATACCTACTGTTTAGTCTTTTCTCAGTAGGAAAAAACATGCTCCAAGCACTGTCCAGCTGAACTCGTTATCTGTCCTTGGGAAAGGCTTTCAAGAAGCCCATTCCGAAGGAGACAAAAGCTTCTATTAAAGCATGTTTCCAATTCTTTATTGGATCACTTGTGGCTCTTGGCATTCCCCTAATACAGAAGCCTCAAAATGCAGTTGAATTGGCTTCAGAAACTCTCCTGTTGCCTTGGGGCCCCCTTTTACTAATCAAAGTACGGAAATGTGGATGGTTGAATCTGGCCTCTGTACTTAAATTCTGGATTACTTATTATTGCTTGAAATATTTTAGAGAGTATTGATTAAAGTTTGTCTTAAGGCTGTACCTGCAGTTTATCAGAAAATGGTTCAACCTTCCCATTTGTCAGAGAATTTTAAATTAAGTTCTCAAACCTGTTTTGTAAAGCTTTGTAGTAGCTTTTGTAGAGTTTTGTAGCTCATCATGGCAGTCTGGTCCAGAAGAATCAAGTAACGACATGAGGATATATTGTATTCTCCTCCGCCTGCTCAGAGAAGAGCACAGAAGATCTTATTTGCTCTACCCTTCCTGCTTCGTTCCACCTCCAAATTGTAATAGTGTAACTTAATGTAAAGTTCAGCCTGAGGCTGTGTTCTGGTTTCCTGCCCATCAGTTGGTAGTGTTGTATGTTACTTGAAGAATGAGTTTCAAACTTGGGAGGGAGGAAAAAATACTCTCTCACTACATAAAAATCAATTTTTTTCAGATGGGTCCTACATCTATTAGTGATAATAGGAAATTGCTCTGATAGTTACAGAATCCCAGTCACAAAGACTGCTCTTCTCAATAAGCTTCTGGTTTATGCTGGGCTATCTGGGTGGCTGCAGCTTTTCACTTCTTGAGGCTGGAAACACCCAAGTGGTAGGTTTGGCAAACTTGTAAGCTGGCAGGTGAAACAACATTTGTGAAGCATGTAATTGGATTTGGCTGTTAGAGGTGATGCTAGTTTGCTCTGGGGTTAGTGCTAACTGTGAGAACTTTATTCTTCTCCTCTTAACACTGAGTGGTGACTGGTGGTTTTGAACCTGTAGGCTAATGTGTGCAAAGACAGGAAAACAGCTTTAGCTACTTGTTTTCATCTTTATTAAGCTATTTTGGGATTCTCAAAACATTACGAAAACAGTGTTTTCAAAGCTGCAAGCTTTCAAAGCTTCTGGTTTTGAATGTTTAGATCTTTCACAGGGTAAGTTGGGGTTTTTTGTGTAATTTTCTATTAAACTTCATTTCACAGACTTGGACAACTTGCTGTATTAGCTGGGATAGACCAGTCAGATTTTGGTCCTTTGGGGCATCCACAAATGAATTCCACTCTCAGTAAGCCTCATAACACGCTAAAGGAGAAGTCTTTTGAAGAAGAAAGACAAGAACATACCCAGAATAGCAAAGTAAGTCTATAGAGGGAATGCTGGTGGCAATGTACTTGACGTTAATAATGTGCTTCTCAGCTGTTATCCCCCTCTGACTGAAAGCAATGATTACCAAATGATCCATGAAGTTGTTATTGCAGTCTTCTGCTGTAGCTGTATTTATAGAGATCATAATAATTCAGTGATTAATGTAAGCTTTTTAAGTTATTACCATTTGGAACTGAAAGCATGGTATTGTGTAATGTTCTAAAGAAGTGTTGGTAGTAATTATGTTGTTTCTTATTCTGAAATATGAACTTAAATAGTGGTATGCATCCATTAACAATGGCAAATACCAGGACTAGGTTTTATAGAAACATTTAATGATGATGTATGGAGGGTTTTTATAAGTGTGGTCTGATAATAGAGGGCAATACAATGTGCCTATTGAAAAGCAGGAATTTTCCTAAGTTATTGCACTGTGTGTGTCCAGTCCTGTTAGATTTCTGCATGGACCATGCCATGAATTTCAGGCAACTACAGATTTTCAGTATTAACAATCTAAGGTTTTAGTTTCTACTCTGAAGTCAATTAATAGCAATCCTGGATTTTTTTCCAAGGGGAGTACTGAGGTTCCCTAAAAAAACCCCGAAGACCAGGCTTCATTTTTTAAGGCAATTGAAAAGTAAGATACTGGCAGCCTACAACTTTGTCCAAGTTGGGTAAAACTGTCATGCTAAGATTCATTCTCATAATACAATTCCAATGTATTTCTGATGTGTAATGTCATCCTTATTAAGTGTTCCAAATTCCCCAAGAACACCACGAGCTTCTAAAACGTGATGGTAATAAATGCTGGGGTTTTTTTTACCGATGTACAAGCAATTTCCAGTTTTGCAGTTTGAATCTGCTATAATTATGGAACGTAATAGAGCAATTTGCATTCTAGGTTCTTTCACATGCTATAAGCTTGGCCTGCCACAGTGTTTTGTTCAGGTGATGGACTCTTCTGCACTGTGACATTAACTTGTTCATGCAGTTTGTTTGGATCATTGTTTTTCTAATTCATCTGCGTTTAGAAGCCAGAGCTTTGTGTGTTTTAAGTACACATGGCAAAGGACGACTACAGAAGGGTTCAGCTAACACACTACTCACACTTACCTCCTAGTGTTGGTTAGGTTGGATTGTTGTAGCAGCTAGGTATTGTGGGACAGGCTGTTGGGATGACACTACTGTGACCTGTGAGCGAATGTAGTAAACCACAGGTATTTCAGAATGACAGGTGTGATTGGGCCTTGGCTGCTTCGGTATAACTGACGCTTTTCGGTAGGATAAAGTCCAAGCTAGATGTGAAACTGTAATGTGTCTACTCCATCATGATCGCCCTAGCAATGTTCTGAAACTTGGTGCTTTGAAAGGTAATGAAGGTTGTGTGATTGCTGTTGTCTCTGAGTCTTTTCTGTATTAATTAAGGACTTGGTTTTGCTGTGTAGATTTCAGTATCTGGCAGTTGCAATACTAGATGTTTTCTTCTTTAGTTACCTCAGCATCTTCACTGGAATCTCTTATTTCAGAACAGAGCTGTGGACATCCAAGTTTCTCTTCCTGGCACATTTCATTCCCAGATGGTTGTGAATAATGCCTTCCCTGCTCTTGGAGAAATACAAGAATTTCACACTGCTGGGCAACGGTACCAGCCAGGCTCATGGACAGAAAATGAAGCTCAGACAATTAACCAAAATAAAGAGGATAGGCCTCGAAATAGTACTCCAACATTCTCTGAGAGAAGAGTCAAACAAAATGAACATGCCAAAGGACATCATGCAGCAAGGCAGTTGGTTGCCAGTCCACGTTCATTGTCCGATTCCAGTGTACATACTGCGAGTAATGGTAGCAGAATATCCAGTGGTGCTTCTGGTGAAAAAAGCAAAAAATGTTCCTCAAAGAAACACATCCCTAGAGGAAATGAAACAGCAGTTCCCAGTGATGGAGCAAGAGGAGACTGCAGGCTGCAGATAGTAAACCGCTCTGGAATGGATACTGTAGGATCAGGCTCTGAAGTACAAGAAAGTATCCAAAGTGTTACCAGCCTCTGAAATGTTTCCAAAAGGTTTGAACTGTTGTTTACACTTTCAAGGTTAAAAATAAATTTTGGATTAATTTGTGGTTTTTTTGTTTTGTTTTTGTTTTTTTGTAAAGTAGTGTAGACTTTGTAAACTTGTGAAGCATTGCATGCTGCTTGGTGTTCCTGTTTCATGTCTGCATCACTTGCCACTAGATTTTTTTGTTCTGAAACATGTGATGTACTGATAGAATGGCACCCTTCGGTTTGTACTGCATACAAAGGATTCCCGGCATGTGGATTTTATTGTGTATCAACAGATGTTGTTACAGTGTGTAAACTGTTTTGAGCTAATAAAATTGAGTACAGATTTTGCTTTTCACTTATTTCCAGTGTGTTGCAATGGAAGTGGAAGAAATGTCTTCAGGGCTGACATCAATTCGTGCCTAACTGTATGGGCATGACATTCCCAGAGGTAGAAGTTTCAGATTTGACAGTGAGCCCAGAAACATCTCTAAAGGAAGTATTTAAATACAGCCATTCTTCCATATTGCTATGACTGTAGGCCATCGGATAATGGAAGTTGGGAGAGACCTCTAGGGGTTGTCTAGTCCAACTAAATTGGGTTGCTCTCAGGATCTAGAGAAATGTGAGAACATAAAACTAAAAGAATACCTTTGTTTTAAAACTCCTGGGGTTTACCCCCCCAGCTTCTTGTTCCTGCACAGGCGTCTGATTTGCAGCTTCTGAACTATGGCACAGAGTAACATTTGCCTAACGTGGCACAGAAAATCGTATTGTTTCACGCCTGGCTTTACTGTGGCCCAGAAAAACAAGGCAGAGCCTGTCTTCCTACTGGTACGCTGAGTGCCATGAAGAGGTGATCAGTCGACAGCCCGATATAATAATAATTATAAAATTATTGTTTTCCTTCACTAATTACTGTTTTGTATATAAATGGAGGTTCTGTAAAATTAAATTTACTAGCAAGGTCTGTAGAGATGAGGAAGACGTTACACATTTAAGCAAATTTTAGGAAAAGTGTCCTTAAGCCACATAAAATTTGCATTTGGGAGAATGAAACGACATACGTTGTTTCAGTTCAGGATTTAAGCCTAGGTCATTTGGTTCAACAATGAAAGTGAATTTTGCTTTTGAATGGACTAGTCAATTTTATTTCCTTTGAATAACTCCTCATTATGACATTTCTAACATGCATGTGCTTATGTCAGTCCCGATTTTAAAAAGAGATTTCTGGAATTGCAGTAGTGAACTGTGGGAGACACAATACTTGTCTTTATGGGAAGTTCAAATGTGGCAAATTCATCACATTGTGCAGTGGTCATGAAAAGCCGACTTTTAAAAAAACAGATCAAATATAAACATTTTGCCTTTATGTCACTATTTACAGTGTTAGCTGCGATTTTGATTGGCCACAACATTTTAACCTGTTTGAGACTGACTTTTTTTTTTTTTCTTGGCAACGTGTATTCCATTTGCAGAGTGAAGGGGACCAGAGGGTGATGGAGCAACAGAAGGTATCTTTTTGCATACAGGGTTCAGGCATGATTTGGGCTGAACCTGGCGGCGGGGAGGAGGGAGTGTGTAGCTTTGTTTAACTCTGTCGTCTGTCGTGAGAGTTCTGGAACACAGAAGGTCTGTAGAAATTCCTGACTCCAATTGCTTGACAGTTATGGAGAAACTCATGAATCCTCGAATGGAAATGTCCTACTGATCAAACAGCATGAGATTACCTTAGCTATTGCAATATTGCACAAGTAATTGCACAATGGAAGCACATTATTTATACAGACTTGGTCACTTCAGAATAAAGCAGGTAATATATTAATCTATGCAATCCTTTAGATATTCCCTCAAACATTTGAGGTCTATTGCTTTAGTCATGATTCTTCGCCTGTTGATTTGATTGAACAATTACATGCAATCAGTTTCTTCAGCATTAAAATGCTATGTGCTCCCTTTTTAAAACTTAAACTCTAATCGTTGTGAAATGATGGATAAAATTATAAATTCAGAAGTGTTCAGATTTGTCAGGTCAGGAATTACGAATATCTGTTATTTGTCCCTAAATATGCCATAAAGAACTTTATGTATTGTATGCCTATAAGCCCATGGCATAAATACCTTTTATGTTAAATACTGCTAGTATTTGCTTTTAAAGTGTAAATTATGTAAACAATAATTAATGCAAAATTGAGCAGGCAATATATAACTTAGATGGGCATTTTTTTCACCAGGATTAGTACTTAACCATTTTTTTAAAAATCAGAAACATGAAGGATTCTCCATCTCATCACTAGTGCTGTTGTGTAATACTCCTTCTTGCGAGAATCTGGCATGCATGCATTTATTTATAGTTGAATGCTGGATCAGAAGTCAGTAGTGATAATGGATGTAAGTTACCTCAAGAAGTATTTTTTTAAGGCTGTCATGAAGATTTCAGATGTTTCAGGGTTTTTACTAACTACTTAAAAATGCATTTCCAGAAAATATTTTGTATATATATAAATTAAAAATACTTTGCGTATATAAATATATTTAAGAATAAAGTATTTTAATAAAAAGTAAAAAAAAAAAGTGTATATATCCATACTTTCAAAATTATTATGAAACCATTTTACCCTGAGTTTGGATATAAACTATTTCAACCTCTTGCTATTAGTTAATGTTTTACATATTTGTCTATGTTCTTGTTTGACATAAAAGCCTGAAATCAATATGCCAGCTGCTTGCTAGAGAACATATTACTGTTTACTTATGAAACTCAAGCATTTTTTTCTCCCTTCGTTTGGGCATCCCAGGAATTACTTTTCACACTTCATAACTGCAATATTTGGGGTGAGATCCCTGAATAACAAAATAACCCCAAACCCTTGTCTGAACTTGTTTTAAGTCCCAATAAAATCTTCTAGTCTCACTAGTTTGCTGGACCAGACATGCCAGCTCCTTGCTGCCAACAGCTGCCAGGTTGTTATGTAGTCAGCGTTATTTGTCTTTTAATAATGACGTCAGTTTGCTGTCAGTGTACCAGACAGAGAACTCGTGCGCTTGTTCTCCTTGGTTGAGCGGATTCCTTTCCAGCAGTAGTCAATGAAGGTTTTTCTGTCCAGCACAACGTGGAGTCACAAACCCTATAAAAGTTAACTGAAAAGTCTGAAACTTTATTTAAGTCTGGTTTATATTTCCAGTTATGCATCATAGTAAATAGATGGTTTTGTGTTAATTATGCAAATCGACGTTCCATCTGCAGGGGTTTGTGGCATTTGAAGGCTCAGGTTCTCTGTCAAATGCTGGAAGCCATAAGCATTCCTGGCAGTCATGGTTTTGAAAGCTCGTACTTTATGTGGGGTGACTATGAACATTGATGTAATGGATGGGTTGTAATGCTATAATGGGATACCTTTACCCCAACAGGCTGGAGTTCAAGCTGCCCCTGCGGTCAGACGTAGGTAGCCTGAGTCCAGTACTGGGAAAAGCCGGTACGAGGAGCCCGTATCTCTTACGCCTGTTTGAGGCTGTTTCTGTTTGAGAAAATAATCGTGTTGTAGTCACATCTATGGTGTTCCTGAGCATTTCAGTTGAGGCTTCTATTTAGCTATAATTAATTTTAGTAGTCAGAAGTAATGTAGTTGTTGTGGGTGCTGTGGTCTGAGACATACTTCAAAAACACCTTGGTGTTTTGAAGAGAATGTACCCAGCTTGTAATGCCTGCAAGGTTTGCCATTATCTCTTCAGAACTGAAGAAGGTTCTGGTGCCTGAATGTGAGTTTAGTGTGTTTTCTTAAGCTTAAACCATTATTGAAATGAAGCTACTCTCTGCTCTAAAACCACTGTCTCTGTTTACAATCTTTCAAACAAAATAACTTGCATAAGATAAAAATACATCAACTAAATACCGGATCAGGCTGTAATCTGTAAAATTCTTTCTATCGTTACGGGTATGACCTGGCTTGGCAGGAAAAGGAACAAATTCAAGTAGTCAGTATTTATTATGTGAAATAATTTATAATGAAAAATGGTCTATTATATGATTGTCAGTATTCACAAAATAATGGACATCAACACTTTCATTTCTGAAAAGAAAAAAAAAAGCAGATTTGGTATACAGATGATAGTTGTTGATAAACTTGGTGAACCTGCACAGGACTAAAGTCAGGTCTGCATTATAGGTAACAATGGTCAGGCTAAGGTGTTCAAGAGTTTTACGCAGCTACATACACCTTCAGGAACCTGAAGGTGCACAAGTCCATGGGACCTGATGGAATACGTCCACATGTCCTGAAAGAGCTGGTGGATGGGGTTGCGAAAACTCTATTAATCATATTTGAAAAGTCATGGCAGTCTGGTGAACTTTCCACTGACTGGAAAAGGGGAAACATAACCCCCATCTTTAAAAAGGGAAATAAGAAGGACCCAGGGAACTACAGGCTGGTCAGTCTCACCTCTGTGCCTGGCAAGATCATGGAGCAGATCCTCCTGGAAACCATGCTAAGGCACATGGAGAACGAGGAGGTGATTGGTGACAGCCAACATGGCTTTACCAAGGGCAGATTGTGCCTGACGAACATGGTGGCCTTCTACGATGCGGTCACGACCCCGGTGGGTAAAGGACAGGCAACCGATGTCATCTACCTGGACTTGTACAAAGCATTCAACACCGTCGCGCACAACATCCTTGTCTCTGAATTGGAGACGCAAGGATTTGATGGGTGGACTGCTGGGTGGATAAAGACCTGGCTGGATAGCCGCACTCCAAGAGTGGTAGTCAATGGCTCAGTGTCTGAGTGGAGATTGGTGACAAGTGGCGTTCCTCAGGGGTTGGTATTGGGACCGGTGCTGTTCAGCATCTTTGTCAGTGACATGGACAGTGGGATTGAGTGCACCCTCAGCAAGTTTGCCGATGACACCAAGATGTGTGGTGCAGTCGACAGGCTGGAAAGAACAGATGCTATCCAGAGTGACCTAGTAAGGTCTGGTCTCCAGAGAGACCAGAGTAAGGTGGTGCCAGAATAA